ATTGGTTGTCAAACGGGCACTTAGTAAAAGGCGAAAACGTCTAGTCACTATTGAAAACGAATGAATTAAAAAAAAAAAAAAACTAAAAACAACAATTTAATAAAGAAAATCCTTATACTTTATTTTAAAATTATTAAATAAATAGAAAAAACGTTGCCTTCCTTGTCACCCACCTACACCTCTCACCCCTACCAATCTGGCTGAATTTCCGTGGGGGTGGGGTCGTAGTGACACTGCGACAGTGACATTAAATTATCACTGTAATTTCATGTTGGAAAGTAATCTATTCATTCAATAAAGAATTCATAAAATTCACTTTAATTCATTAGTTATGTTACATGTACATAATAATTTACATACTGATATACGTAATGATTCTTCTTTAAAACAAAAATTATAAAGTTCATTAACGTAAATGCATTTTATTGAAATTTGCACTTGTTGGAGTGTCCACCCTTCATTCATTTTCTTTTTTATCCGTAGATTTTCTGTACATTACCGTATAGTAAATCAATATTCTTCATCACTAGTGAAGAAAGAAAATTATGTTGGAAGACAGAAGTTCACATGGAGGAGAACCACCGAATATTCGATCTAAGTATGTATAAGCTGTGATCGCATCCGGATTAATTCGGGTGGCGAACCAGAGGTGAAGACCGCCACTCCTCGGAATTAGTTGGGTGAAACTTGGACATCTGAGTCATCAACAAATAAACTATGGTGGGGTGGGGGATGAGGAAAAGTGGAAAACAATTCTTTTTTCTCTTTTTCTCCCTTTATTCATTCTTTTTTTCAAATAGTTATTTAATAAATTATAAGCCTTTTTTTAAAATTAAATGTAAGGTTTAAAAGGCGGTGTAGGTATAGGTTCATTACTTAGTTACGGAAAAAAATTGACAGCAACCATCATTAAGAATTATCTCTGCTAATTTAAATGGTTAGGGGATCAATTATGAAATTTTTCTCAGATTTGCAAATTAATCGGTCATCAAAGGGAATTTGATTTTAAGAATTATTCAACGCAACACGTGAGTATCACGTGCTAGATTTAGATATTTATAATTTGGAAAATTCAAGTCATGTGGCACAAGTTCCATCCATCCACATGTATGACTCTGATCACTGACCACTCTTGCTCTTAATGGGCTCCACACCAACTTTTCAAAAATTAAATAATTAATTAATATTGCAAGGATGGTAATTTCTTGTTTGCAAGTAAATTTTAAGGCAAATTAGGGCTGAACTCCTCAAACCTTTCACAAGTTATGGTTTTTAACTTATATAATTGAGGTTTTCAGGCCTCGAACTTTTTGAGTATTTGTATTTGGATCCCCACGTGATGAAAATAGGCAATATGAACATTAAAATTGCACGTCATTTTGAGTTAAGGGCGTGTTCGATCGTACTTAAAATCTAATTAAAATTGAAAATATAGTTGTTATTGAGTCTCAATCGTCTAATAAAAGTCAACAATAACGACTAGTTTTTCAATTTTAATCTAATTTTAATCTCTACCGAACACGTCCTAAATTAGAAATAAATGTTAGGTGATTTAATGATCTTGCCCTCTGATTTTGAGTCATGTGAAAGTCACTTATGATTTTAACATCTAAATTGTAGATTTCATGTCCTATTATGTATTTTATTGAGAATTTCTATATAATAATACTCAAAAACTTCTGAAAACATTTACGAAGTTGACATGATGACTTGTCAATTATTTTTTCATTTTTGTAATCTATTTTAAAAATAAAACAAATATGAAAATGAGTAGAATTACAAATAAATAAATAAATAAATTGACGCTTGAAATAAATTGATGAATATTTAAGTTGTTAATTTTCAGGGATGTGCTACTTGTACATTAT